GCTATTTATAGTCCCCGGAGCCACCCCGCCGGCTGTCCACACAGCGCCAGAAGGTCGTGGCCGGGGATCCGGTGTCACCTGGCGGAGGTGGGGGTGCGCATGAGGCACCGCGATTCCCCCTCGGGTGTCAGGGGACAGCAGACACCAGGATGAGCCGTGCCACTCCTTGGGTGTATAACTTTCCTGCATAACTGCTCCAGCAGCGTCTCCCCGTAGCCAGAAAAAAAGATGCCGACACTTGCCCTTCTCCATGTTTTAGAGGATGAATTTGTCCGCCGTTCGATGTTGAGTATGGCGTCAGGCGTGGGCTTGTCATACACGCCCTACGTTTTGTCAAAGGATCTTTCACCTTACCTGACTTGTTGAGAATTTTATTTTTAAACGGTGTTGAATTGTTGGGGTCAGGGTCAGGGTCGAGGACAGGGTGAGAGGTCAAGGTCAGGGGCAGGTTCAGAGGTCGGAACAGGTAGCTCAGCTCCGACACATGAGCACCCAGTAGAGGTGTGTGGATTTATACAGGACTAGGTGCTGACCACCTGCCAGCCCCGACCTCCCCCCACACCCCGTGGGCCCTCCTGGGACAGGCTGGTCCTTCCATGGGCAGCGGTGGACAGTCAGGTCCCAGGCAGGCCAGCCCTAGGCCTCTGGCCCTCCAGGTGGTCATCTGCACCCCACGGCTGGAGCCAGCCTGGCCTCATCCAGCCCCCCAGCCAGCGACGGAGCTGACGGGGCTGCTGGGCACAGGGACAGCCACTTGGGCAACCCAGAGGGTTTCAACCTGCAGCACCCACGGGATTGAGATGAGCACCTCCTCCATCACAGCCTCAGCTTCCGAGAGCGGCGAGGACCCTGCAGAGGCAAGTGGGGCCCTGGCTGCGACTTTCCGTCCCCCATCTGTAACAAACCCCTGCCGCTGGCACCCCAACAGTGCGCGTGTCCAGCCCGCGGTGTGGAATGATCCCCTGTCCCCTGGCCTCCGGAGCTGAGGGCCCTCCTGCTGCCATGGGAGGGCACCAGGGACCGAGGGCCAGGGGCTGCAACGTGACTCCGTGACCTCCCCGGGCAATTCCTGAGCCAACACTGTGCTTAGACGGACCCCGCAGTCATCACGCCCGGGAAAGTGGGGTGCACACCGCCCGGGAGGACCAGACCGACGGGGCCCAGGTCTGAGAGCCGAGCGCTTGGGTGCGGGAAGGCCGCGGGGGGCAGATGGCAGCACTTCTCACCCCACACCGCCCCCGGCCTCTTACACCCCCCAGAGCTGGGGAGGCTGGCCGGAGCTGGAGCAGAAGGGGCCTTGGGGACCCCATTCCGCGTGCAGCATTTGCAGAGGGGCTGAACACAGGCTGCCCGGGCAGCTGCTGGAATGGCCATCCCGCCCCCCGTGCCGCTGTGGTGAGTGGACCTGTCCCAACAGGTAGGGCTAAGCCCTCAGCTTCGTCCTGGCACAGTGTCTCTTCCAAGGCCCAGGCCACTGTCAGGCTCAGAGGGCTGGCCTCGTGCAGGAACTTCACGTCCTGGGAGGCCTACAGGTGTCCGGAAGACCTGGAAACACGGTGAGGGGTCAGCCAGACCACACCGGGCGGAGGTGGGGGTGCGCATGAGGCCCCGCGATTCCCCCTCGGGTGTCAGGGGACAGCAGACACCAGGATGAGCCGTGCCACTCCTTGGGTGTAAGAGGGCAGCGCCGCTGCGCTAAATGCCTGGGGAGGCGGAGGGCAGGACACGGGACGCGGGACGCTGGACGCGGGAGGCTGCTGGGCCGATGCCCGCGCGGGCAGGTGTGGGCATGCGCTTGCGGGTGCAGTGCGGGGCGGGCGTGAGGACGTGGGAGGTGGGAGGCGGGGTGCGGCGGCTTGGGGTGTGGCCGGCGGTGGGTCCCCATTTACCTGGCACCTCCTACGCTGGTTGGGATGTGATTTTCTTTTCATGAAATATCAGGACTTGCACACACAGACACACACACGTAGGGAGCTAGTGTTCTGTGAGACGTTTTTGTACGTGTGCCTTTAGAGAATTATTAAAGGCAACGCACTGTGGTGAACACAACTTCCACGCTTAGAAACGCACCTGCCGCGTCCACCTCCGAGGAGTTTCGACGCTGCTCCGCGCAGCGTGATGAAGTCTCACGCCGTCCCGAGCTGTCCCGACCTTAATTTCCTCCCGTGGATTCCCCTCCGTCTGCAGATGCCACTGACGTTTGTGCTGGTCCCTAGCTTTGCCTCCTACAGAAGACGACATAGTTCAAGCCGTCTACATGGCCTTTACAGATGGGCTTCTTCCACTTCGTGGTACGAAGTTAGTTAAGTTTCCTCCATATGTTTCGAAAGCTTCGCAGTTCATTTCCTTTTAGCGAAGAAGAACATTGCAGTCTCTGGATGGACCACATTTTGTGTTTCCATCCAAATACTGAAGAGCTCCTCGGTCACCTCTACGTGTGGCAATTATAACCACGGCTGGTATAAACGTCCGGTTTTGTGTGCACGTACATTTGCAGCCACTTTGGGTGTATACCAAGGAGCGTGCCTGCTGGATCGTAAGGTAGAAGTGTAATTAGTTTTGTGAGAAATTACCAAGCGATCTTCCAATGTGGCTGCACCGTTTCGTACTTCGCCAGCGATGAATGAGACAGACCTCCAGTTGGTTCACATTGGTGGTGTCGACCTTCCAGGTTACGGCCTGGAAGTGTGTGACAGACAGTACCTCGTTGTTTTAATTTGCGTGTCCTTGATGACCGAGGATATGGAGTGTCGCTTTATATACTTTCTTGCCATCACATATCTTTTTTGCTGAAGTGTCTGTTAGGTCTTTGGCCCGTTTTTAATTGAGTTGAGTGTTTCCTTAGCGTTGACCTTCAAGTGTTCTTCGTATATTTTGAATGACGGTCCTTTATCGTATGTGTCTATGGCAAATATTTTCTCCCAGTCGGTGGCTGGTCTTCTCACTCTCCTACATTACCTTTTGTAGAGCAAACGATTTTGTAGTTTTAATAAAATTAGCTTACCAATTATTTCTTTTATGCATCACGCCTGTGGTGTTCTATCTAAAAAGTCAATGTCATATTTATGATCAGTTAGTTTTTTCTTGGGTCATGTTATGGTTGTTTTATAGGTTTGTATTTCACAGTCAGGTCAGTGATTTATTTTGGGTTAGACTTTGTGCACACTGTGAGGTCTGGGTCTAGATTCACTGTTTTGCACATGGAAAGTCAGTTGCTCCAACACTATTTGTTGAAAGGACTATCTTTCCTCTATTTTTTGCATTTGACACTTGGTCAAAAATTTGTTGACTATATTTCTGTGGGTTGATTTTCGGTCTCTCTCTGCCAGTCTATTTGTGTGTCTGGCTACTCTTGCGCGAATGCTTTTGCTTGTACCTTTCTAGCAAGCCTCGCCGTTGAGTAGTTAGTGTGAGCTCTTTAACTTTGTAATACTCCTTCCAAATCGCAGTGACTGTCACATGTTTTTGTAGCCGTTTTAGCAACGTTAGTTCTACCGTTTCATGAACACAGTAGATCTTTCCATTTATTTGTGCCTTTTCCAATTTCTTCCATTCACATTTTATAGTTTTTCATTTACAGAACTTTTCATCCCTTGGTTAAATTTATTCCTAAGTATTTTATTGTTTCTGACGCTCTCCTAGATGAGATTATTTTCTTTATTTCTTTTTCAGATAGTTCTTTGTTAGTGTATAGAAATGTAACTAATTTTTCTGTGTATTTCGTAACCACACGACCTTACTGTACGTGTTTATTAGTTCTCACAGGTTTTGGTAGGATATTTAAGGTTTTCTACGGATAAGATTACATCATCTGCAGACGGAGGCGGTTTTGCTTCTCCCTTTCTGGTTGGATGGCCTTCATCTCCCTTTCGTGCATAACTGTTCCAGCAGCGTCCCCCAGTAGCCAGAATAAAAGTGATCAGATGCCCTCAGCTTCGTCCTGGCACAGTGTCTCATCCAAGGCCTGGGCCACTGTCAGGCTCAGAGGGCTGACCTCGTGCAGAAACTTCACGCCCTGGGAGGCCTACAGGTGTCCGGAAGACCTGAAACACGGTGAGGGGTCAGCCAGACCACAGGCCACACACGCAGGGGGTGCTTGGGTACCTGGAGAGGCGGCCCTGCCAGTAGAGAATAACTTTCTTTCATGACAAACCCTGGGTGTTATCCCCGTGATGCCCACGAGATGGCAGCAGAGAATAACTTTTCATCATGACAAAGGCTAAAGTGTTATTCCCGAGATACCCACGAGATGGTAGCAGAGACCTACTTTTCATGATGACATACTCTCGGTTGTTATTCCTCAGTTGCACACGAGATGGCAGCAGAGAAGAGCATTTCCCTGCTTAGGGGCTTTGCCCACTTCTATCCAGACCCCTGTAAGAAAACTCTCGTTTTAGGCCCGTCACATTTAGTTATAGCATCTAAAATATATCTTAATAAAATTTATAATTTTTTTCTTAAAGATCCCATACATCTTTTATTATACTTACTTTATATTAAAATTTGTTTGATGACTGTTATAAATTTTACTGTTGTAAATTTTTACAAATTAAATTTTCTAACTGATTGTTGCTAGTACATAATTAGAGCATCGGTGTTTGAATACTGATGTGTCCAGAACTTTTTCCAACCCCCTTATTCATGTCAGTGATCATTCTGCGGTGTTCCGTGCAGATAACCGTATCGTCTTCGCAAATAAGTTTTGTTTCTTTCATTCTAGACCTTATGCCGTTAGTTAGTAAGTTAGTTAGTTAGTTAGTTAGTTAGCTAGTTAGTTAGCCCGTGGTCAAACCCAGAGGGCTGACGGCTGACACCTGGGGAGATTCTGGGGGCCCTAATGTCCCCTTGGATAGGAGT